ATAGTGTAGCTGCTGAAGTACCTTCTTAAGACAACTGGATATGAAATTGGTACAGAGTATTCCACAATTAATGAAGGAAAATGTTCCAGCGGCTGTGACCTAGTAAATTTACTACAGTCAGTCACCATACATTGATTATAAGTCTTCAGAGATCAAACAAGCTACCTTACAAGTGTCTAATACGGTAACTAGAAAGGTTAATTGCACAAGCTCAAGTGCAGCATTTGATCAGACTTTGAACAAGAACTGTGATTGAATAAGCAGCCAGATAAGAAGTCTAAAGACACCACATTCACTTTAGATAAGACAGCACCTAATTCTAACTCTTTTTTTTTTTGAGCCCCAGAAGCGGATTTTTTAATTGGTTTTTTTTTAACACTACAAAAACTACAACAGAAAAAGGGAGGGGAAAACTACATATAAAGGAGAAAGTAAAGAACCCACTACTGACTAAAAACCCAAGAGAGGAGACCCTCCAACTAGCTTTCTGCATTCAGTCTTTTCATCTTTATACTTCTTATGAACTGTGTCAAACTTTTAGAACTTGTAACCCTCCCCACTTACATTTAGTTGCCCAATAACAGTGCCCCCCATCATCCCCAAGAACCAAGTTCTCAAAGGCACAATTCAGAGTCCTTCAGCCTTTACTTCTTCTCTCTTTTCCGCAGCTTGTAGGGACTTTTCGGGGCTGCTGCCCCCTGCTCAGACAAAGAGTCCTCGCCAGATGAACCAGTTTCCAACTCGCCGTTGGACCTGCTGTCTTCTTCTTTTTTCTTGTCCTCCGACCTTCCCAGCTGTTCTTTTAGAAATTCTTGAGCTTTAAGAATTCAATCTTTATCTTCTCTTTGATCTTAAATGTTACTCCTTCTGGAAATAGCCATTTATATCCAATTGAATTTGTTTGGAGGAAGTGCACAAGTTCTTTGTATTTCTTTCTGCGTTGCCTTACTTCAAATGGAATATCCTTAAGCGTTCTGACAGCATTCTCCCCCGCCTTCAGAGGTGTTGCCGCCACTGCTTTCAGGATAGCATCCCTGACGTGCCTCTTTGAGAATCTTACTACAATTTCCCCAGGCAGATTATTTTTCTTTATGTATCCTGAATATGACCTATAGGCCACATCCATGTTGTTGAGTAACTATTCCGCCTTTAAATCTGTTGCTGGGGCAAGTAGCTCACACATAAAGTCTTTAAGATTCTCTCCTCTGTTCTCTGGCACCCCTTGGAAGCATAGGACCATATTGGCCTTATCCATTTGCACTTGAAGCATTTGATCTTCCAAAGAAACAGTTTTCTTTTCCAATTTTTGCACTTTCTTCCTCACTTTCTGCGTTGATTCAGCCATTTCCTTAACTTTCTCAGCATCCTGCTTCATTACTTGGATTAAATCAGTTATTTGCGTTTGTTGGGCAGTGATGCTTGTTGTTACAGCTGACAGCTGCGTTTGTTGGGCTTTAATATTCGCTGTTATCACGGACATCTGCTCTTTGAAGGTGTTTAGCTGTTCCAGTAGAGGGCGCATGACCTCAGCCATCGCCTTAGCCGTCTCACTGGTCATTTCCGGCTTTGGGGACTCTAGTTTCGTTTTTAAAAGTTTCTCTTTGTCTCTGTCCCTCTTCCCCGCCATCTTTTTTCTGTTTGTTTACTTTCGCGAATTTTTTTTAAAGTCTCTGAATATGCTGAGACACTGGGCAGCACTTCTGTGGGCTCGGCTACCTGATCCCGGCTGCGTCTGATGACAACCGCCATGGCACCACCATCGTCCGTGTCAGCCTCTTCAGCCTCTGCCCGCCAGAGCGTCCGTTGTGTCCTTCGGCTCCCAGCACACTGAGGCCAAGACGCTGGCCGCTGCTTCTGTGGGCAGGACTCTGGGAACGCAGCCAATGGATTGGGATACCTTTGGAGTGACAGCTCAGGGATCCAACTGATTTGGGAGCGCATGGAATGTTGCCACTTTAAAACATAATTATATATAAGGAGAGATAGTTTGGTATGTAACAATTTCATGACTATATAAGGAGCTTGTCAAATACATATTTTAGGCTGCACATGCTGCCAAATACTGTTCCTTTTATATTGCAGTCCTGAGGACTGTAAGGTAGCAAATGTCACTCCCATCTTTAAAAAGGGTTCCAGAGGAGATCCGGAAAATTACAGGCCAGTCAGTCTGACATTGCTGTGGCCCTGCCCCCAGCGTGCCCGGCGTCATCACGTCACATCCAGGTGACGTGCATGCGGCGTGCGTGCGCAAAGCGCGCGCACGCAGAAGACGCCGTCTGGGAGCCCCCCGCCACAGACGAAAAACAATTTGGCAACCCTAGAGTCAAGTGCAGGGAAGGAGCCAGTGTGTGACTGCAATAAAGACGGCCAATGCTATGCTGGGGATTATTAGGAAGGGTATTGAAAACAGATCAGCCAATATCAGAATGCCCCTATATAAATCAATGGTGTGACCTCATTTGGAATACTGTGTGCAGTTCTGGTCACCACACCACAAAAAGGACATTATAGCATTGGAAAAAGTGCAGAAAAGGGCAACTCGAATGATAAAAGGGTTGGAACACTTTCCCTATGAGGAAAGGTTAAAGCGCTTAGGGCTCTTTAGCTTGGAGAAATGACGACTGAAGGGAGACATGATTGAGGTTTATAAGATTATACATGGGAAAGAGCAGGTAGAGAAAGAGGTACTTTTCTCCCTTTCTCACAATACAAGAACTCGTGGGCACGCCATGAAATTGCTGAGTGGTCGGGTTAGAATGGATAAAAGGAAGTATTTCTTCACCCAAAGAGATATTAACACATGGAATTCACTGCTACAGAAGTGCTGGCAGCTACAAGCATGGACGGCTTCAAAAGGGAATTAGATAAGCATATGGAGCAGAGGTCCATCAGTGGCTATTAGCCACAAGGTATAGATAGGGACTCAGGGGCAAGTGATGCTCTGTCTTCTTGGTGCTTGGGGGGGGGGGGTCAACAGTGGGAGGGCTTCTAATGTCCTGGCCCCACTGGTGGACTTCCTGATGGCACTGGTATTTCTGGCCACTGTGTGATACAGAGTGTTGGGCTGGATGGGCCTTTGGCCTGATCCAACATTGGCGTCTCTTATGTTCTTATGTTGATTCCACCATTTCTGCCATCCTTATGTTTAGGTCTGAAGTGTGTTCTTCTTGCACTTTATCTTGTAGATGTTTTCTGGTCTCCCTGGTGAAACTTTTCTCATTGTTTGCATTGGAGTTTGTCATGTCAATTTCTTCTCCTATATTTTCTTGGGTTAAATGAGCGTTATCAGAGATTAGAGACAGAGGGGTAAAATAGTTTGATATCGGTAGGTTGTATTCAGTAGAGGTATCAAATACCACAAAGTCTTCCATTTTAGTTTGTAAGATGGATGGCCTTTTGATTATCATCCATATCACATAGTCTCTTTCCTCCATCCATATCTGTAACTATTTCCAACCATCATGAAAAGATAAAATGTTTAAGCCTTGTTTGCAGCATGGAAAGTAATTTCTAGCCATTTTTGTAAGTTATCTTGTTTTTATTTAAGGCAGAAAATTTTCAAGGTTAATTGGAGGCTGAGATTTCTCCCTAGTCTGTGTTATGCAATGTATCTGTCCTTTGAAATCCATTGATTCAATTCTCATATCATCTTGGACTGCCAATTACACATAGGCCCATGTAAGAAACTCCTCTCCTCACCAGTATACCCTAAACATTGTATTAACAATGACAGAATAATACAATGTCTATTAAATGACACAAACCCAGACATTACAGCTCTGGTTGCCAAGTTCTTGGCTGAAGCAGTCAAAGAGAGAGAGAAACGTTTTGTATGATCAGTCTTATTTTGTTGTCTCTGTAATGCCTTCTTGTTCATATTTTATCACATTGTATATTTTATTGATATGCCATTAGAGGTTTAGTAGTTGTTATAAGGGAAGCCATTTTAGAATTCCTTAAGAAAATGGGTATTTAGAGAACACACACTATTTCCTTTGAACAGGAAATTATTGAAGAGAGATCTTACAGACAGATTCCATGATTAAGAATGTATCACTTGATTGCTCTTGAGTCAAAATAGAGCATGTTTATGATGAAAACAAAAGTTAAGTCCTATGTTTGCTGCCATCAGTTCGTCAGAATCACTCTTGGGCAAAGAGATTAGTCTAGAAGGTGTCAGACTCCTTTTAGTTTAAATTACAGAAGAAAGCATTAAAATGTATTCTTTCAGATTCAAGATCTGGACTCCTCTTCCTATGGGTTATTCTTTTCACCACTTCTCCAAAGAGAACACAGCTTAATAAGCAGGAGAATTTCAAAAAGGAGACTCAAACATGGTGAGAAGAATAACAGTAAAAGGAAAATGAAGGGCTATTTAAATTGATTGGCTAAATCACAGTAATTTGTCAACCGAATCTCTTGTTTGGCCTCTCAAGCATATTAACTTTGGTTAACAATTATATATCTGTCTTGCACTAAGCTAAACCAATTGTCTCCTTACCCCATATTGTCAATGCTCACTGACAGCAATCGAGATCTCTCATTCTGGGCCTTACCTGTCAACAAAGAACTGGAGCTGGAGATGTCAGCAATTAAACTAAAAATTTCACATGCTCCAACATATCCATTCTACTACTGAGATTAATCTATAGCTGCCTCCTAGAAAAGGTATTCTCATTGACCTGCATGTAAAGATTTCATGATTGATAAAAAAATCATAGTTTGAAAGCCCCCAAACAATACCAATTTAGTACATCAACACGTCGTATAATTAACCAGGTAAGAAAACCATGTCCCGTTAAGTACATATACAGAAGTCACCCTGCTAAACTATGACAAATAGTAAAGCTTTAACAAATATTTTAATCTTTAACCAATCAAGGACAAACGGCACAAATATTTTAACTACATTCTAGATCTGTTCAGGAGCATCAATGAAGAAACCATACTAACACACAACAAATCATTTAAAGAATTTATTTTCTTCCTTGCAAGGGCATACTGACATTTATGGTATGTTTCAGAGTTACAGTCAAATAGGAAATTACCTTGCAACAGAACCAATGAAAACTAAATACAGGTTGATATTACCCATTTTAGACCTCAGGGTAATCAGCTAAATATTGTATTGCATAAAGTAAACTTGTGTATAGACACAATGTACATGATACACCTTTCTACATGCACAGATTTTGCCAGAAGGCAATATACGTCTCCATTAAACAGAAGGGATGACATCTATTGGCAGTGCCATAACCTCAATGCATTCTGAAAATTTACAATAATTGCAATTCAATCTGCAACCCAGTTAAAACTAAGAAATTCACAGATTTCTCACCAGATTTCAGAGTTTTGTTCCATTGGTTTCCATGGGCTAAACTGGTTTTACTTATTCTGGTTTAAGTGCCATGCAGGCTGTACAATTTGACCTGTACTCCTACTCCAAATGGTAAACATGTTATGGTTTTGTCAACAGCATGATTTTGGAATATATATTCTGAATATAACAAATTAGTCTTTCATCATCACAAATTTAAACAAACCATAACAAACAGCAGATAAAAATCCAAATGGTTCAGTGTATAATTTTAATCTGCACCATTGTGAAGTTCTGAAAACACTGACTCAGTAAAATCTTTTCAAAAAACTGTAAAGAAGATCATGGATTCAAAAATCCCACTGAGGGAGTAGAATGTACTTCTGATCAGGCAAGGTGATGTTATCACAACAACACCTTCCCAAAGACAACTGTATCTAGAAAAATCAGGGAGCTTTCAAGAGCAGATTTTCAGGGGGCTGAATGGGAGGGGGAACCAGAGGAACCCCCCCCCCCACATCAACTGAGCAAAATTGCTTTCTGTTCATGCAGTAGGATCTTCAGATCAAAGGCAACAGGTTTGTACTGTGCCATCACCAATTGAACTGCTTCTCCTCCTGTGAATTTATAAACAGCTAATCATAAGGAATTACAACTAATATAATTTCAGTCCCTTTTAATACAATGCAGACTCATGAAATATGTTTTATACTGATGACTATTCATGCTTTACATATTTATAATTTGGAAAAGAATGGTAGTCCTTCATACATGTCAGTCTTCAACCTGATCCAGTCATTGAGTTTCTGCAAAGTTGTTTTTTCCTCTGTTAATATTTTGGCAGCTTTCTTCAGTTTCTCTTCATTCCGTTCTAAATATCGAATGCCATCTGTCCGTAACTGATTAAGCTTTTCTTTGCGGCTTTCATCTAGAGCTATGTCCTCATTCATCAGAGGGTTAAATCTGAAGTATGTGTTTGGAGGTAAAAGAGCATCCAACATTGTGTGGACTTCTGGTTTTAAAAACAAAAACAGTAAAACTGTTAACTCAGTTTTGGAAGAAAAGACGTTCCATCCCTTCTTTTATGGTCTATTAATCTGTTAATCAGTATTTTTCATATGTTATATAAGATACTGAGAACCAGCATGGCATAGTACTTAGACTGTCAGACTAGGTTCTGGACCAACTGGGTTCAAATTGACGCTCTGATATAGAAGTTCATGGAGTGACCTTGGGCCCATCATATTCTCTCAGTTTAACCTGCCTCACAAGACTGTGGTGAGGGCAAGGTGGAAGAGAGGAAAGTGATATGACAAACTATTTTGGGTCCTAGTTAGGGAAGAAAACCATACATAAAAAATATGCATATAAAGAGTTCTGTATCACACAAGCACACCATTCCAACCACAAGACATTTCTGAATTCATGATTAATAAGGTCTCCTCCTTGACCACTTACCACTGAAAAAAAGATGACGTATTACCAAGCTGGTTATTTAAGCCCTGGAAACAAAATAATCACCTATTGCCTTCTAATCAATATATTTTGTACAAGTACAAAAACAATGGCATTCTTTAAATATGTGATGTTAAATACTGCATGAAAAGTGAGGGGGCTTCAATGGGTCTTTTGACATTATATAGAGCTACCCTTGTAAATCACACACAACTGAACCTGTGAACTGTTTTCACCCTGGAGTCTTCGCTTTACTTCTACAATAATTTGCGGTGAATCACGGCTTAAGAAACTGGATAGCTGTATATCTTTGTAACTAACTGGAAGTTATGGTAGTGACTGTGTGTGTGTGCATGTGGCACTTCTAGTTAAGCTGTTTTAATTAAGTAAGCCAATGACTCAACCACAGCAACCCTACTTTATAGAATGTACCTGGCACTTGACATTGTTTATGTCATAAAAAATAAGAGAAGCCAATGCTGGATCAAGCCAATGGCCCATCCAGTCCAAAAATACCAGGTGCCATCAGGAGGTCCACCAGTGGGGCCAGGATAGTTGCCTGTTGCCCCCCCCCCCCGCACCAAAAATACAGAGAATCAGAGTTTAAATTTGGACAGCTAGGAAGGAGAGGTGTGATGTAAGCAAATGTAGTCATGTAAACTTAGGGATTAAGACAAAGACTTCACAGAAGTAGTAGATCCTGGGATGGAATTTTGAAAGCAGAGGCATAAAGGGGTATCATGGAAGTGTACTAGAAGAGTGTTGCAGGCAGCAACAGAATGGGCATAATTGTTCAAGAGATCATTAAATCATTAAATCTTTGGCAGCTAAGGACAATATGAACTGGAAAACCAAATCACAGATACAAGGATATGAGAGCAGAGAAATAGGAAGGAAAGGGATACAACGGAAGAGATAAGGGGAAACAGAAAAGGGTGAGAAACCAGCATAGGGATTTATGGAGAGGTGTCGAAATACTTCAGTACACAAAAAGATTTTGGTGGCTGATTACAGAGATGAGAGGACCAAGTGTTCACATTTCCTTTGACAATTAGACAAAGGAAGGCCAGAAATGAACACAATGTTAAACCAGTGTGGGAGAGGGTCAGATATTTCGCTCAGGGAATGGCAAGGAAAGGCAATTTTTTGCAATACTGTTTAAGAGTAACAGCAACAGAATGAATAAATCTGGTGAACAAAACAGAGGACAGGGAAAGAAATCTGGTGAACAAAACAGAGGACAGGAAAAGAAAGCTAAGACTAAAGATATGCTAGTTCAACACAATCAGTGGTAAATCTTGTAAGCTGATGTGAAGTGTGATCAAGCAAACTCGGAGAAAACATTAGCTATTGGGTTGGATTCAGTGCAAAGTTTCTGTTTGTAGTAGAGTTCTTGCACAAGCAGACACACACAAATGAATGAAATAGCTGCTTGCACCAAGTTAAACTTTTTGTATCCCCAGTTGTGTTTCTACTTCTGCAAGGCCTCATGCAACCAATTTCTGGACACTTTAATGCATAGCAAGGAAACTGCTAGATGTTGCACCAGATCTTGCATAAGCAGAACTGCTTAAAACCATTTATGCTTCTGCTGGTACTTCACTGGATCCAAGCCATTGTTTTACTATATTGAGATAGTGCTTGGATATCCTAGTAGAAATATCAGATAGGCAGTCAGAGATGGTGGATGAAATACTAAGGTTTATTTTTCATTTTGCTCATTAAAGAGGAATTATGCATTAAAAGTATTATGCATTAAAGAGGAATTATGCATTAAAAAGTAAACAAAATGGTCACTATCGTACTCTTTAGCTTTATGTTGTCCTTTTAATCTTTTAAAACATTGTCACATCGCTGCTGTCACAGAAGGTAAGATGCAGTAAACCTACATTATCTAACCTTTCTGCATTTCATTTCCTTGAATTTTTAAAAATTCCCATTGTTAAGATTTAGTGATAAACCTGGTCTCTATCACAATGATTTGAACTGCATTGACTAGACTTCTGGTGGCAAAGGCTTTTAGTGTTAATTCTGCAGGTCAGCTACATATTAAAAGGAAGTAATAAAAAGTGATTTTATAAACTTTAAAAATGTATCTCAAGTCTGAATTGGCTGTTTATTACTACATGGATAAACAAGTCATCCAATTGGGAGCAGGCTGACAGAAAGAGAAGTAACATGTTCTCACATTCTGCTTATTCATTAGTACCACTCCAAACCCTTGAAAACCTTCCTTGATTTATTATTTCACTCATCCCAAAATTCCTGCATTAAGAGATCCGTGGCCTTTCTTCATGCCACAGCTCTGTATCTCTAAAACCTCATCAGCATTACAGCTAGGGTTGCCAGCCTCCAGGTGGGGCCTGGGGATCTCCTGCTTTTACAACTGATCCCCAGCCGAAAGAGATCAGCTACCCTGGAGAAAATGGCTGCTTTGGAGGGTGGACTAGATAGCATTGTACTGTGCTGAGGCCCCTCCCCTCCCCAAACCCCACCCTCTCCTGGCTCCACCCCCAAAGTCTCCAGGTATTTTCCAACCCAGACTTGGCAACCCTAATTACAGCCACACTTTTCAGATGTGCATTATAGCCACAAGCTTGGGGAAGCAGAAGAGCTTTTCTCATCCCACAGTTGAGGTACAGTCTCAAGCAGTTCATTTAAATAGATATTTGGCAAACTTTATCAGTGCCACAGTTCACCAAATATCTAACAATATATTAATCAGAAAAAAAAGGTTAAGCCTTAAAATGCATCACAAACGTCAAACTGATTTCAAACAATGGATACTAATTCTCTTTTTTTAATGCTACCTTTGTACATGAACTGAAGTCCTTCTGTAGATGGGCAGGAGACAGGATTAATACAATAATTCCAATTCAAATTAAGGTTATGAAATATGCCCTCTACAGAAATAGAATGTTCTTTGATGATGTTACTGATACACTAGCCTCTTATATTTCTTCAATCCTATGTTTTCATACCTAAATACAGCTTCAGTTATGTTGCTTCTCAATAAAAACCCTTTATCCAAGTCCCATGAAGAGCTACAAAACAACATCAATCACTTGAAACCAACCTTCAGTGTCAGTAGCACTGCTGATGACATTATTCAGCTTAGCTTTCAGACTTGTATAGGTGACATTGGTCTTCCCTTCACTTTCATATCGGCCAGTTCCCAAGGATATTACACACTGCAGAGGCATATTTGGCCAAAGACATTTGCACTCATGCACTGCTAAAGCTGTAGGATTATTCATGAGCAGTCCTCCATCCTGTGAATTACAAAAGAGAGAGAAAGAGAGATGTCTGAGTGACCACTATTTACAGATATAGAGTTAAAATACTACAAGATGCAAATAAAGTAGGCACTGTATGAAATCCATTCAGTTCAACACACAGCCAGTCGTGTTTGGATTTGGTGCTTGACTTTTATGTCCTCTCTTCAGATGTTAAAATAAAATGGGATGAGAAAATGAGAAAAGCTCTTCTGCTTCCCCAAGCCAACATTATGAGCAACAGCCAAAATAAAAGGTCACCTTTACACGACAGAACTAGAGTAGTATAGCAGATGGTGAATCTAACTGTATCTTTACACTAGGGGTGGGCACAAACAATACTCCCTCTAAGCTGTGGAGTCTTGTGAGCAAAAATTCTACTTTGTGAGCTACTGGCATTAAAGTTGTGAGCGGGTGATTTGGCTACTGCATAAATTAGTTAGCTCTGGAGCCATCTTTCCTGAGCTAAAATAAAAATGTGTGAGATGGAGGCTAAAAAACTGTGAGCTAGCTCACACTAACTCAGCCTAGAGGGAACATTGGGCACGAACCGGAATAATGTGAGGTTCATAAAGGTTTGAGGTTCGGAGTTGTTTCAAACCACGAACCATGAACCTGCACAAACTTCATTGCACAAACTGGTTTGTGCTTTGGGAGGTTCATAGGGCCACAGCCCCGCCTGGAAGTGAGCTCTTTAGGCATTTAAATTCCAGCAACAGCCCCACCCAGAAGTGAACCCTGAAGGCATTTAAATGCTGTTGAAGCCCACCACTGGCTCATGGCCCCAACTAAATCAGCTCCAAAGGTATTTAAAGGCCTTTGAAGCTAGCTTCCAGATCAGGCCTTTATAGGCCTTTGGAGCTCTGGGAGCTCAGTTACGTCGGGCCTTCAGAGCCCACTTCCAGGTGGGGCCTGCCCATATAAGGCCTATAAAAGCCTTCAGAGCCCACTCTGAGAGCTCAGTCAAGTCAGCCTGACCTGGAGGTGGGCTACAAAGGTATGAAAGGCCTTCGGAGCTCACTTCCAGTCAGGCAACCAAACTGGAAGTAAGCTCTGAAGGCATTTATATGCCTTTGGCGCTCACTCGGGTGGAGCCGCAGGCTGGTGGTGGGATCCAATGGCATTTAAATGCCTTTGGGGCTCACTTCCAGGTGGCCCACCAGACCTGGAAATAAACTCTGAAGGCATTTAAATGCCTTCGGAGCTCAAGAAAGTGTCTGCCACAAACCTCCATACAAAACATGGAGGTTTGTGCGTGGATCATGGGAGACACATTCTCCCAAACCCCTGGTTTGTAAACCACAAACCGGCCTGGTTCATGCTCAAACCGGGGTTTGTTTGTGGGTTCGTGCCCATCCCTACTTTACACATAATGGCCCTACTTTACAAACAATGGCCCTAGAGTGCAAATAAAAACATTTGCACAATGGGCCCATACAGATCCAGGGGATTTCCCCACACATGCATATATACAACTCTTTGGGGGAAATCCCCCGGATTTGCAGAGAAATCCCCAAGGACAAAAAAGAAGTAAGAAACCCTGCACAACTGAGGGGTCAAAGTCCCCCCAAATTGAGAATACTTACAGATCTGGCATGATCACTACTGACACTGTGGAGCTGCTTAGCAACTGAAACATGGGAGCCTTGGCCTAGGCAATCCTGGCATAACTCCAGGTTTGGGGGAAAACAGTGGTGGTGATAGAAACACTGAGAAAGGAGTTGGGAGACAGACAGTAGATAATGAGCTGGAGAGGGAGAGAATGGAGAAAAGGCTGGGAAGAGAGATACGGCATGTGCGGGGAGCAAGATTTTGTGTGAGGGTGTGATTTCCTTACCCCGTTATTCTTAGAAGACACCAGTTTGTTAATTCTGGTATATTCTATATGACGGAATAGTAAAGTTCTGAGACAATAATGGCACACAATAAAGACTGTGATTTGATCAATCATAATATACATGAATTTAATACCACCATAGTACACATTTCTTTGTTCCAAGAAAACAGATCTCATGAGTCTTTAGAAGAGAATACTACAAATTCAACAATACAGGTAACAACAGTACAGCAGTTGCCATATATCATCACATAATACTTCCAGTTACTTACAAGGCTTTGTCTAATTTTGAAAATGATCTATTTCATTTGAAATCAGAATACAAAAGAGGCAGAATTAATTTATTAAATGACAGGGTTAAATCTGTTAATGAATGGATGAAAGTTAAAATGTTCATTTTATGTGTAAGGTGCTAGAAACAAAGAGCAAAGAGGACGATTTCAGGAAGCAGGCAAAAGAAACATGTCCAAGATCTTAAATGTCACATGACACAGGTTCCCCTGGATCACAGTCAGAGTGAAACACAAGCTCAAACTTTCTCCTGCCTCAATTACATAAGATGTATTCCATAAAAGAAAATGAAGAATTTATACTCAAGCAGAGTGGAAACAAGAATCAGTTTGCATGCCTATAGATTGCAGCTATAGTTATGACAGGAAGTTCTTTTAACTGGTATGGCCACCAAAAGTAACAAACAAGACAGATACTTTTCTCTAGCACAAAAAATGGTGAACAAGTGTTCTTTGTGAAGGACAAAATATTCCACTGCAAACTCTGCACAGATTTTGCAAACATGTACAAAAACAAACACTCATACATATGCCTATAGTTCCAATTTTGCTGCTCCCTTTACATGAAGAAAATTTTTCATCTTCCATCATAGTTCTTTAAACATAGCAAAGCACACTGTGGCTTTTGTCTGATATAACTGAAGCTTTCTTCTTTTGTGAAGAGCATTATTCTACACTAACTATAAGCCATAAAGGTTGCTGTCCTAACTGTAGTTTAATTTATGGAAACATAGAAAAGTCAGGAATTAAGACCCATGGTCTTTTTTCTTTCCCAGTCAGCCATGCCTTAAACATTACAATTGTTAGGCTATGCAATCCTCATAACAAACCTTTCACACATTTAGTGCAAGCCTTAAATCACTTCACCATGCAATCTAACATTTCCTTCAACAAAATGTCAAGACGTAATTACCAAGCTGTAGTTTGTTAGATGGATCTGTTGAAATGGAGGTTCACGGATACAGTAGTAGCAATATATGCTTGAAAGAGTTCAGTCCATGGAATCTAGGCACACACATGTTTTGGAAAGGAAAAATAGCTAGCTGCACATCTGAGTTGCTCAGCAAGATATATGAATCAGAGGGAAGTACATCAGGGTCCATCAGAAATGCAACCATGTTCAGAGGCTGGAGGTCAGTTTTCAGAGCACTATTACTGCAAATCACAGTGTAATGTAAATACCCTGGCAAAGCTGTGGGTTTTGTAAGAAAACAAATGAAGCATTAATTGACAGGATTTGAAATCCTAATAGCTGATACTAATTGTAGGAAAGAAGCTTCTTTCCTTTGTTTCCGATGTAAAGAAGAAAGCACTCTCATTGTGCCTTTAACTAGGAAACTTAATGTGAGTTGGATTTAGGAAATGAATTTTGCATATCAAAAAGGTTGTCAGAATCATGGAATATCTTATTGGGAAGATAGCAGCATTGATTACAAAGCCAAAATGAGCACAATAAGGAGAGGAAGAAGACCTAACAGCTGCAGGCACAGAATTCTGTTAAGTGACTGTCATTAGGAGACAGTGTTGTGATAGGACTATCTAATTGACATCAACAGTTAAAAACTAATGTGCAAAGCAAACTACAGCAAAGTGCATTCTTAATAAAAACAAACTCATTTTTTTAAAAACTACAGCTGCGGTAAATAAAGCAGTGATGTGGATCATTGCCTTGATGAGAAAGTCCTTTGATTAAGCTTTCAGTACAATCTACAAAAGCTTTTTGAACTCTTTCTGGAACAGTTAATATACTTTGCCTACAGCAGAAGTAAGAACAGTAGCCTCTCAGTGCACATTATTTTTAATTTTGGCTAAAATCAGATGGCGCTCTAACATGATATAGTAAACACTGTGTTGCTTTATAAATTAGTCTACTGAAAAAAACTTTTTTTTTAAATCTCAAGGTGGTTAACACAAATAGCATCTATTTGGGTTCAGAACACTTTATTTTAAATAAACTAGATTTATTAAACTGAAATCATGGGACGGATTCAGGCAATTTTTCATTCTGTCTCATGAAACAGTCCATCTAACTACAGCCCCTGCCCTACATCTTTTGCTCCATGAACCCCAGCATAGCTTTTCTGATGGACAGGGGACTCCATCCCCCGTTTTTCATACGTAGAAAAGCCAGGGTTGCCAACTATCTGGTATTGACCTATAGTCTAGTATCTTCATTGACTGTCCAGGAAAAAAATGGGAAAATACTGGACACTTAAATGTCTGGTATTTTAGGGCTGCAAAATTGGGAGGCCCAGATGGCATCAGGGCTCTCTGGGTGGATCAACTAGAAGAGCCCAGGTGTCTAAAGGGCCTGTAAGACAGAGCTGTCCTGCCAGGCCTTGAGTTGAGGTGGCGGATGTCAAATAACATCAGTCTCCCCTGCTTGAAGCACTCCATGTGCCACTTACATCTTGGGCACCAGGTGCAGTTGATTTAGCTCCATCAGAGTGATCCACCACCCCTCCTGGCATGAACTCAGCGTACACTGGAATGGAATTGACAGCCGAGCTGCCATTAGGTATAGGTACATTCTAAATTACTTACCTAAATTTTTAATTTTGTTGCATTAATGTTTTAATGTATTATTGTTTTATGGAAATGTTTATGGTTTTATGACATGCTGTAAGCCATCCAGAGTCCACTTGCAGGATAGGGTGGGCTAAAAATCGCAAAACTAAAATAAAAATAAAAAGGACAGCCTAGCTGGGGGAAGAGCTGGAATGCCAGCGAAGGTGCTGGTCCCGCTTCAGCTGCCTTTGCCATCGAGGAGGCTCCACATGCCTTTGCCATTGCATGTGGAGGAGTAGGGACTCAAACCTGGTTTTCCCAGTTTAGAGTCCACACTCCTAACCACTACACCAAACTGGCCT